GCGGGTCTGGGAGGGGGAGCAGCAGAGCGGGGCGATTTCAACCCCGCCTTGACCCGGAAATGATCAGATCCCTCCCGTCTCCTCCCCCGTGCAGACCTTTTGCGCGCTAGAACGACAGAGAAAACGAGTCTAGTGCGGCTGAGTCCGACGCTGTTCGAGGGCGAACCATAGAGAGGATGCAAGGGTAAGCGAGCCCGGGGCGCTGGATAGAGCGTCTCCCTTGGAGGAGCGACAAGGTTCCCTCTTCAGACCACGTGCCTCCTAGTCTTCCCAAAGCAGCGTGGCTCTCACTGAGGAAGTGCGGCGAAGGGGAGCAGGAGGGAAGGGGCGGAGGGAAGAAGAAAAGAGGCAGCCATGTATCTTTGTATATCTGTAGGTTGTTTTGAATAAAAACAGCGTGTTCTAAACATCCTCGTCTCACTTCAGCATGGCTAAGAAAATTATTCCACAATGCCCTAGAAGCAACACTGGTGTGCAACCGTCCCGTTTAACTTTCGTGGGACAAAGTAAATAGGCAGCAATCCCGTGGGGGCGGGGGGGATTTTAAAGATGGTGAAATTTGCTTCATTTCTAGATAACGGAGTCAGAGACGGGGGGGGCGCTCCCGACGATGATCCCCAAAGCACCCCTCTTAAACCCACCCCCTATGCGTAACCTTTTGCTCTTACTGAGAAAAGTGGCTCATGGTGCTTTGGAGCCGGGTAGTGACTGTAATGAAACTCTTTGTTGCCAAACTCTACTCTGTACATCCAACCCATAATAATCACAAGCTTTCGACCAGCCAGCTGTTCAGATTATACAGCTACCTAGGAGTAAAACACACAAGAGTAAATAAATACACATGGGTGGGCGCTTTAAAGGAAAGAAACTCACGTTGGGAGACAGAGACACATTTTACTGTTTTTCCAAGGCACCCACGTTTCACTTTAAGCCTATCTTGAGGCATTTCATTTTATATGAATATATAACCTACCCTATAGAAAAAGTTGGAATGGGATGTGTGATTAAAAATATGGAATGAAAATGGGCAGTTCAAATGTAGCAAAAGTCGAATGCTGCAGGAGTATCATGACACCCTTCAAAAGCAGTTATCCAAAAATGTCTCCTGGTGCTTCAGAAAGATGCTCACAGCCTTTCAGCAATTGGGGGAGGGGGGCAGTGACCTCCATAATGGGAAGCAAAATAAGAATTCACTACCAGTGCTTAATTTTTAGGAGACATTTTGCCATGCGTCAGGCCTGCCAAGAGGCCACATTCAGACCTTGGAATGTGTCCCGTACTTTATTCCTCAGGCACACTTACCCTGTGGTTGCCCGGTGACAAGAGGAAAAGGTTATGCAAATGATTCCAGGCACGGTTGCTACTGTCTCAGGCTGCATATTGACATTAATACAAAATCTAGGCCAGTGTCTTCATGTGGATCTTTGACAGCCTCACTCTGGTGCTCTGCTACAAGTTTGAAAAAAAAATATCAGACTCAAGGGCTTTCCAAACATTTGTTTCTTGCCTAGTAATTAAGATCAGAAGGGCGGAAAAAACTGTGTTCCAAGGGCCACCTTTGGAAGTTGGCTCAGATAAGGTCTTTTCAGTGGTTGTGCCACAGCTGTGCAAAACCTTCCCTGGGAAAGCCAGCCAAGAGGCAGGCTTTCAGAGAATTGCTGAAACCTGATGAATCTCCCAGGGTTTTGAGCTAATTGTCTTCAATATTATGTATCTTTTTTCCCCTACTTTAAAAGCATGCATTGTATAACAATACATATTTAAAAGTTTAAAAGAAATTAATTGTGGTTTTATTTAATCAACACATTGCCTTAGACAAGCATAAATGAAAAAATCCCAATGCAGAAATACTATAGTAAATAAACTTTGTGCGGGAGCATTGCCACCTGGTCCTAGGTGCCTGAAGGCCAACAATGCCTGAAGGCCAAAACCTAGAGAAATAATTGCTGGGGTTGAATGCTAGAAGGCGAATGAGGATGGAACTTTTGATCAGCTGATCACATGCAATGCCGTAATCTCTAATCCAGTGGTTCCCAACTTTGGGCCTCCAGATGTTCTTGGACTTCAACTCCCAGAAATCCTGGCCAGCAGAGGTGGTGGTGAAGGCTTCTGGGAGTTGTAGTTCAAGAACATCTGGAGGCCCAAGGTTGGGGACCACTGCTCTAATCCACAAATGTTTATGCCACAATTATTAGCCTTTATGGAATGCTCAAGAGATCTCTGACTTTGGCCTACTAAGATCTAACGTGAAAATAAGCCCTAGTATGATTTTTCAGGATGCTCGTAATATAAGCCCTACCCCAAAAATAAGCCCCAGTTAAGTGAAACCCCACCCTCCACCCTTGTGCAGCCACCAGAATAAGATGGCATGACTCAAACGTAGATTGTTGTACATGAAAAAAATAAAACATCCCCTGAAATTAAGCCCTAACGTGTGTGTTTTTGGAGCAAAAATTAATATAAAACCCTGTCTTATTTTCGGGAAAACATAATAGCTTTTGTTGTCCAAAACACCTCCCTAATATGACAACTACAGAAAAACAGATGCCTTGCACATGATATCCAGACTGGGGAAAGTCAAGTGTGGAATAGGCCTTGCTGAGGGTGTTTGTCGATCCAAACCCGGGACAAATGTATAAAAATCTATGGGAGGTAATGGCATAAAACAGATCAGAAAAAGATGGGTGTGAACAGCTTTCCTTATTTTAATAGGTGTTAACTCTCACACAGTTGTTGCTGTGTCAGTGATGTTTGAACTCGCTAATTTATTCTCACAGGAACATTCAGCTATTCAAGGACACAAGGCATAGAGTCTGCTTTTTTCCACAAACCTTGTTTCAGAAGAGAGGCCCTAAACAAATTGCAAAGAGGCTGAGGCCATAGTGGCTTCAATATTCATGGGTAAACAAGCCCTTCCTAACTACATTTGCACACATTAGTTTTATAATTAACACACCAGAGAAATGTGACTTGAGTAAGTTATACAATACAAAGGAATCAAAGCCAGCTAAGACATAGATGAACAGAAAATATCCCCTGAGCTGTGCAGGCAGAGAAGGCTGTGACCTCTTCACCCTCTCTCTGAAAAGCACTGAAGCAGGATGGGCCTGCTTGGGGAAATGAATTCCACATCAGAGGGACAGCTACCAAGGGAGCACAATTTGTTATGCCACCTCTTTGTATCTTAAAAATTAGTCAAGCACACTCTTAGAAGGCCCTCAGCATGGTGGCAGATACAAGAGGCAAGCTTCTAATTCTTAACTCATTTCCCATCTGTTTCAGGCTATACCTATAGATTTTAATAGTACTCATATCCCCCCTAAACTGGTTCAGGGATTCCCCCACCAGATGAAATGTGTGACTAGTTTTGCTTCTGGATACAAATTGCTGCACAACAGACAGAAGAGAATTATGATTTTCCCACTGTGGCTCCTTCAAAGTAATAGGAGATTCTATTCCAAAGGCCTTTGTGTAGTCTAGAAAGGCTTTCCTTAGGTTGGAGATCACAACTCAAGCAGTGAAGCCTTGTGGAGGGGAGGCTGCTTGTCTCCTGTTGTTTGGCTTCCAGTGATTCTCAGACAATGGTCCTTCCAAATTTCCAGAATTCAGCTCCCAGATTCCCTAATCATTAGCTATGCTCTCTGGGGTTTCTGTCAACAGAAGTCCAAAGCTAAACGTTGAGAACCACTAAAGTATTGCTTCAGCATGTGTCTACAGCTAGACAGAAAACAATGTCAACAGTCTTAAAGCATGATTCAAACTGGGGCATTTCTAGAAGAAGAAGAAGAAGAAAACCTATTACCAGAAAAGAAAAGAGTTTACTTATCCAAAATAATAGATTTCACTAATATAAAACATTCCACATTTCAAAAGTCTGAATTCAGCCACCTATTCCAGACCATGCAGTGCAAAGCCAGAAACCAGTTTTCTGCATATTGAACCATTGAAATGGGTTATGGAGAGAGAGAAAAAAAGATGGCTACACCACGGTGGACAGCAGGAGGCCGATTGCTAGCCATGTATGCACAATGGTCGAAAGCCTGTTGCTTAGCCTAGTAGGTCATCAGAGTAGGCTCATTAAATCACTGAAAGTTATGAAGGAGTTAACTCACCAAATCCTCACTGATTCAATGGGCCTACTCTAGTTGCAATTTACTAGGCTAAGCAACAAGATTTCAGCCAATGTGAACATATACCACATCTTCTGGTTTGATATCACTTTAACTATCATGGCTTCTACCATAAATCTTGAAGTTAATAGTTCAGTGAGCATGATGACTATTTTCTGCCAGGGTTACTCCCTAGCTTCCTCTCTTAGGACTACAGACCTGCACCCCAAAACATCCTGAATAGCAATAAAGTTTAAAATTATAAAATTCAAGACTGGAGAATTTATGGACCTCCACAGGTTGTTGAACTTCCACTTCCACCTATGATAGGAATACTGATTCATCACCTCCTGGATACCCAATTTCCTCACTTTGGGTTTAAGCCTATGATGTTCTGTGTGGCTACTGCCTTGATCTTCATAAAAGAAACATGAGCACAGTCCTTTGCTGTGTTATTAACAATAAGCAAGGACATGTAGCACTTTTTCCATCGTTCCAAATTCTTTTCTGAGGAGGTATCTTTATAGGCCAAACAAAATTGTATAAAAAGTGTGCTGGAGCACAGATAAAAATACACAGGTTTTCAGGAATTTTTCCCTTTATCGAGTGAGATATTAAAAGAAAGCAATATGAAAAGGAAGGTGACTGATTTCAGCTGCAGAAGAGGAAACCTGAGAACACAACCTCTCCTAAAAAGAAGCATCCTTTGTCTACCAAATTGTTTCTCCATCACACCTTGGAACATTCAGATAAGAAGGCTTAGGATCATTTGCCCCCCCCCCCAAACTGGAATTATAACGGTATGAAATGCATAGGCACTGGATACAAAGCAGTTTACTCACATACGCCTGAGTTTGGTGAATATCCCCCCAGCACACTGAAATTCACTTTTGATGCTTCATAAAAATTCCCCACCCATCATCAAACATTACCCAAGAGATTAAAGAATTAAAACTTTACAGGACAGCTGTGTAGAATCATTCATCAGTGAACTGTTTCAGTGAACTATTGATATACAAAAGAGCCTTGACTTTGGCTTAACCTCCCAAGAAACCTGTGAGGCCAATTGCTGCTATCTCCATGTCACAGGTGGGAAACTGAGCCTGCAAGCAATTTGCTCAAGATTGCCTAAGTGGGTTCTTGTCAAAGCTAGGATTCAAACTCAGACATCAAAGCGCAAAGGTCTACCCAGGTATCTCCTGCAGAGGATTATTTGTCTGTACAATACAGGAGACACCCATTCTCTGCTAAAACCGCATGGACCAATGGGATAATCTACTGTTCCTCATTCCTGTAGCGCCAGACTTGAGAAAGATGTATTGTATTGGGAAGTAGCCATTCATGTATTTTATACTATGAGGAGCACATGTAGGTAGCAGAGGGGCAACATCGTAATACTGATCTCCAAAGCCAGATCTTGGATATATTAAATTGCTAAAATGGAAAAGGTTTTTTGTGATTAATCTCTTGCAATGTTTCATAAGTATAGCAATGCTATGAACATAGGCCAAGCCATCTCCCACTTAGGGGATCTGAGCTTTCATCACATGTAGCTCCAGCGGACTTCAGCCCAACAGAACCAATGATTTGCGAAGAAGTAAATCAGATCTTAAATCTCTCCATCTGAGTAAGACATAAGGACTAGAAGAACATGGTAGAAAACGAAAATTAAACAATTCCCACTGACATCAGTGGGACTAGTTGTTGTTTTGTGCCCTCAAGATGGAACTGTCTTACAGCGACCCTAATAGGGTTCTTAAGGTAAGTGAGGTATTTAAGCAGTGGCTTTATCAGTTCCACCCCCTCAGTGAGTTTCCTTAGCTGATAGGGGATTCAAACCCTGTTCTCCTGAGTCTTAAGTCCATCACTCTATCCACTACAGCAGTGGTTCTTAACGTTGGGTTACCCAGGTGTTTTTCGACTGCAACTCCCAGAAGCCTTCACCATCAGCTGTGCTAGCTGGGGTTTCTGGGAGTTGCAGTTCAAAAAAACCCGAGTAACCCAAGGTTAAGAACCACTGCACTACAGCATACTGGTTATCAATAGGACTTAAATGTGCTTTATTCTGACTGTATGGTATCAAATACTGGCAGGACCTTTCAATGGTATCTTACAATGTCCAGTTTTTGGTGACTGGAATGAGATGGGGTTCACTTCCTTACATGGAGGTGGCATTTGTTCATCTAGACCTGCTTTCCCTCAATCAGATTTTAGGGTGTAGGGTATAGACATTGCTTAAAATACAATGTGGTGACTTGCTTTTTATTTCCTCTTCCTTTCCCCACCCCTTTTTAATCATGTGTTTTAGCCCATGTGCAGGGACTATATTATGTGTAAAGATCTTAATTAAAATAATAGTAATAATATAATAGTCTGACAGCACAAGTTAATGCAGAGTCATAGACGTGGCTTGCTCTTCAAGCTTGGTCACTCCATCTGAAATAGGTATGGCCTATATTCAGGATGCTAAGGAGTGATAAAGATCCACTTTAAAAAACACCTGCTTCTCATCAGCACCAATGGAAATTATGCCTGAATGTGGATTTCTTAAACACAGCATGCTTATTTGCTTGTGTTAACCTCTTGATTTCAGAGCAAAGATGGGGTGCATGTTCTCCCACACACAATGTACTGTTGTTGAACTACAACTACTATGTCCACCCTAGCCATGACAATCAGAGGAAGAGGAGGAGAGCTGCAGTCCAACACCTGCAAGCCCTCAAATCACCCACTCCTACATTGTAGCAACTCTTGGATAGATAACATCTGTTTTAAGGCAGACAGATACAAAGACAGATGCATCTCTCCTTGTGACTGGTAAATACCAAGCTCCTGCTTTTTAAAAGCAGAGAAAGCCACTTGATTGAAGACATTTTTCCAGCTAACATAACAAAAGGATGGATAGTTGTTTCCCCACCCCACCCTTGTTGCATTGTAACTCCCTTATTTACCTGGACTGGTAAAAGGCTAACAGGATTAGTATGTCAAAAACATCAGAACTGCTCATCTGCAGGACACTAAGTCCACTAAGGAATGAGTTTCCTATGCTTTTATTTTGTTTTTAAAAAATAAAGTGCAACTAGTAGACAAGTAGCACCAAATACATCATTCCTTTCTGCCTAAAGAGATGTAGAAACCAACAACACCACAGCATCACCTCTGCCCTCCACCCTGTTCCCACCTTTTCCTTTTTGAATTACACTGCGTTCCTAGAAGTGCAATTCTAAGGCATTTATTTTAGACCTCACAGAGGCAAGCTGTTGTACTGTGGCATCTTCACACAGATTATTCCCAGTGTAGATACATTCTTGATGTCCAGGCTAAAGTCAAAACCAACCAACTGGAGCTTGAAGCGATGAGCAGGCAAGGATCAGCAGAGCCTTGCAGCTGCGAACAGAGTATGACTTCCCACAGAGATGTATACATTTAGTCTCCAATTCCTTTCTGAAGGTTTAATTGTGAGTTTTCACAAAGAATAATGTACACCAAATCCAGCTGAATATTAAAATCAAAATCCTTTACTGAGAGAGAGAGAGAAAAGAAGAAAAAAGTGCATGGCATGCAGAATGGAATGCATGAATTTTGTGGTCAGACACTTGAAGGGAAGTTTTTGACACTGGATGCAAAGCAGTACAAGACATCATGGTGTGCTCAGGAATTAACATATTTTCCTAGGGGAAAAACAGCAGACCTGGACCTCCCAGAAGGCTTCACCCATGATAAAGTGCAGTAGGGCACACCAGCTCATACACAAGTCCGACGAACCTTTTGCCATCCAGCTATTTTGGCCTACAATTCCCATCAGCCCCACCTGGCATGGCCAATAGTATGGGATTGTGGAAGTTGTAAGCCAAAACATCTGGGAAGGGCAAAGGTTCCCCTACCCCTACTGAACACATTTTAAAAACTATTTGGTCAATTTACTTTAAAAAAAAGTTTATAAGAGCATGTGGATGTTGTTTACGTTGCCAATTTTCCACAAGGCACCCATAACCAACAATTAAAAAGCAAAAACATGCTCTTCTAGATGCAATGATTTACAGCATACTACAGTACTTATGTGTGTGAGATTTATATATATAAATATATAAATACATAAATTTATATATAAATCTCACACACACTCATAATGTAGTTTCATGTGCCATCAGGTCATTTCTGAACTATAGTGACCCTTTCCAAGGTTCTCTAGCTCCAAAGCCAGATGCCTAAATCGCTGAGCAATCCAACCATCTGTAATTTCATTAAGGGCACTCTTAAACCCCCCGAGATCATATACACACTTTGAACCAACAAAAGCTGTATCCATGGATGGAGTGTGTCATTGTTAAACACAACATGACCGATTGACATGCTCGTGTTGTTTTCCCATTTTGAAAAAAACCTAAGCTTTCTAGAATGTGTCCCAAAAAAAAACTTTTGCCCTCCATTTTATTTTTTTCAAAAAAATGTGGCACCCAGATTACATAATAAAGGCATTGAATTGTGTACACAAAGCTACATATAGATTGTCCCTGATCAAGTCTATTTTATTCTGCCAGTTTAACCTTTCTACCTTACATTAAATGAGCAATTAACACTTTCCAAACGCAGTTGAAATGGAGAGCAGATTCTCCTTCTATTTGTCATTTCCTTGAGCAGCACAGAAAAAAAATCACTGGGGCGGGGTTGGAAGAATAATTTCTGAAAGCACTTGGGGGACAACTTTGATCCATCACACTGCAAGCGCGCCTTCAGCTTTAAAGCAATCATTTGACTGGACTTCTGGATTTCAGAAGACTAAAGGATGCTGTACTGGCGCCTGTGTTTACATGTGCACTGTCCTTTTAAGCCCAATAGCTGCCTCCCACTATAATTTCTTAAGTTTAATCAACAGGAACCAGGTTTCCATCAGGCTCAGCTGGAGGCAACCCAGGCCATCAGGATAAAGTCAGCATGGGGTGCAAATCCTGCAAGGTGGGACGAGTAGCCAGCAAGTAGTGTTGTTGTTTTGTATTTTTTTAATCTGGTGATCATTCAGTCAGAAGAGCATTGCGAGAATCAGCATTTGTGGAAAGAGGACGCAGCTGGGAGGTAGGGATCGGCCTCAGTCGGAGTCACTGCTGCTGGAAGAGGAGGAGGAATGCTATAAACAGGAAAGAGAGTGGGAAAATGCATTAGACTTCAATTTCAGCTCATCATCAGAGAAATCTAATTAAGACTCAATCTGTCTTAGAGCTCAGGTCCAGAAAATGTCAGAGACATTTTGCAACATACACTCTGCTAAAATGATTGTTTCATAGGCAGATGGCTGAAAACAAACACAGGACTCTGTGCACGAACAGAATACCTTTGCCTTCTAACCAACACATTTCTGATATTTGAGGCTAAGGTTAAATTCAGCTATTGGGCCCCCCAATAGAGCAGACTCACAGAATCCAAAGGACCAGCATCACTGTGGGTCTAACAGGTGCCATTCTTTGAGTGGGTCTAGTTGTGAATAAAAATGTGGGTCCTGAGTGCAGAATAAGCAAAGTGCAGCCCTCCAGATGTTTCCAGACTACAACTCTAAGCACTCTTCACTATTGGCTTTATAACTAGGGCTGATGGCTGATGGGAGCTGTAGTTCAGCAACAGCTGGTGGAGGGGCTACATTTTGCCATACAAGTGGTGCCTGACTTACAAACGCCCTGACCTACTAACAGTTTGACTTATGAACAGCTCCGTCTGCAAAATTTTGCTTTGACTTGCGGCCGGAGCTTTGACTTAAGAACAGAAAAAGGCAGGGGAAAAAGGTGGAAAATTCAAACCGCTGGTGGCAAAGAGGCTGCTTCTTTGGAGCTCTTTCGCCCCAACCGTTAGAGCAAGGGGTCAGGGAACTTTTTTACTTCTGCCAAGCAGGAGGAGGAAGGAGAAGCAGGGGCAGCTCCGGATCGCTGCCGGCGGGAAGCCGGTGCGCTCCTTGCCCATCTCTGGCGCAGGTTTACTCATGAGTAAGCACCACCAAAGGCGCTGTGCTGCCGGTGGGAGGATTGTGCTCTAGCTCTAGCTCTCTCTCTCTATATATATACCCTGTTTCCCTGAAAATAAGCCCCAGTATGATTTTTCAGGATGATCATAATATAAACCCTTCCCCAAAAATAAGCCTCTGTTAAGTGAAATCCCACCTTCCACCATTGTGCAACAACTAGAAGATGATGACATGACTGTAAAACAAAACATCCCCTGAAAATAAGCCCTAATGCATTTTTGGAGCAAAAATTAATATAAGACCCTGTCTTATTTTTGAGGAAACACAGTATATAGTTTGGACAGACAAAAATATAGGGTAAGCCCACAGAGTCTGAAAAGAAAATACCATATTGAACATAAAACAAGAGATACAAATAGTTAACTGAGCCCTTGATGTTCAGATTCCAAGTGACTGAGACACATGCAACCTTCTCTGTTCCCTATGGTCTGTTTCTCACGGACTGAAATCCTGTCGCCTAGCACAGCAAATCACAACTAGAGTAGGCTCATTGGGCATCTGATGAGTGAACTCCTCTGTAAATTCCATGGATTCAGTGGGACTATTGTAGTTGTGACTTATGATGCTAAGCAAGGGTGGATAAAAATCAGTGATTTTTAAACAAAAATCAAATTGATTTAAATCAGGATTTAAATATAGAAACTATTTTTTAAATTTAAATTGTCAAAATAATATTTTTTAAAATTTTAAATCATGGTTCAAATCAATTTGATTTAAATTAAATCCACCCTGATGCTAAGCAACATGATGTCAGCCCATAGGTGTCAGCCCTTTGCCAATTCCATGTGTTAAAGTCCTTCATTTTCATCTTCTCCAGCTCCCACAGAGAGCCCTGCAGCACCAATAATATAACTTAATATGTTTAGTAACCAAGCTCCTCCTCTTGTCATTGTTCTTCCACTGAAGAATACAAAGAGACATTTTTAAATCATTTAGTATACTGTAGTGGTTGTCATCACGTGCAGTGGTCCCCAACCTTTTTGACACCACGGACCGGATGGGGAAGACGTGGCACCCCCCGTGCTAATGTGCATGTGCAAAGGGGTGGCACTCGCACACATGCACGAAGGGAGGGCATGCACTCTCTCACACGCATGTGCGAAGGGGCTGTGCGGGGGGAGTGTGGGGGGGGGCTGAGAGATCTGTCTCCATGGCCCGGTCTGGCCCAGGCCACAGACCAGCACCAGGCTGTGGACCGGTTGTTGGGGACCCCTGATATTGTGGGTTGTAATCTTAGCTAACAAAGACTGAAGAAAAATGGAGACAGGAGAACAGATCCAGACTGATAGTATAA